GATATCGTCCTCTTTTGGAAGACCAAACAAAGTAGTTTCGCTTTCACAACGAAACACACAGCGTCTTCACGACATGGCAGCGGCAACAACAATACTACAGCGAGAATAAAAGTTACGCCTTCTTTCTTTGCGTGAACATTTGGGCGGCGTTATGCAAATCTTCCAACATCGTGACGTAGACATGTGGGTGCGTGTTAGAACGAGCCGTTTTAGGTAGGAGTGGCTGACTCTTAACTTTTATAAAGAATATCTCTTTGGATTTGAGACTTTAGTCTTTGCAACTTTACAGATCTTCTTTATGCACCAAGAGCTTGTAACACTCCAAAGAGAAAGGAAAAAATGTAATCGCATCATATGACCCCTTTAAAGGAATTTTTATAATTAGGCCTTAGAAAAAACATTACTGGTGTGCATCTTGAGGCAAAACAAGGGCACTGACATATTTCAAGCCCAATCAGTGCACGTTTCTTTCGGTTGAAACAGCTCAGACTTACATTTTAGTCTGGGACTAGGCTTAAACCTTGTCTGTGAAACCGGGGGGTAAGGGTCACATTTACCTTGCAAAAGACAAAATGCATTTTTATATTGGTCAGATTAATAATCATGATTTCTTGTTTAAAATAAAAAATAAAATAAAAAATGTGTTCAAACAGTATTTGTTTTTCTTGACACCAGATTGCTAATGTGCAGAAAGCTAGAATGACTACAGAAATTATTTGGGGTTTTATTATTTTTTCAGAAAATATTATGTATATTAAAAAAAAAACAAAAAAAACATCACAATGAACATTAAGGTCTAGTGAAGTTTTATTTATAGTAAGCAAATTTAATGAAACATTCAATTTAACTAATTGTTTTTAGTTTTGTCCTAAGTGAAAATTCTGCTTTCATATTGTCAAGTGGTTTCATCATTTGCAAAGTTTCAGTGTGCAGAAAACAGATAAGAAGAATTCGGCTGGATTCCACTCATTGACCATACTTTGCTTTCTTATATTTTTTCACATTTTTTGATTTAGTGATCAATCAGCCAGTCATTTAGTCAAGCAGGTGAACACCACACCTAATTCACAAACCAAAATAATACAAAAAAAACCCCAATAATATTCAGATACAACACAATTCAACAAAACAACCCAAGTACAAAAATAACAAAATATTAAAGCTCACTGGCTGCTTCTTCATTTTGTTGTAGTAGGCTTAACTCTGCACAAAAGGAATCTTTCCTTTGTTCAAGCCACTGCTACTCTACATGGAGGCTGTGTCCGAAATCGCCCCCTATACCCTCATTCACTATTCCCTACAGTAGGTCACCAATTCAGTTCACTAGAAGGAGTGAATGAAAACGAGTAGTGAATTCGGACACTGAGTGCATCGGAAGGAATGCTGCTTTTGCATAGTTGGTGCTTGCTGTTTATTAATCATTTGAAACTGGCAAACTAGCAGCTCCAGTAGTAAGATTAATATGGGCATTCTCTAGCCGTTGAGCGTGCACCAGTTGTACACTCGTTTTTGCAGTGCATTGTGGGATTGAATGAGTGCACTCGAGAACGTCCACTATGGTTTCGGACACCACTAAAAATGGCTGTTCCCTCAAATAGTGCCCTATTTAAGGGTATAGGGGGCGATTTCGGACACAGCCGGAGTCTGTTCTGCCCTGCTAATTAATAGATTAACTTCACCTGGTGGTGTTCTCTCACTGGTGAGTTCTAGTGCACTCTGGCTAGTGCACTCTAGTTAGGAGGGGCGGAGCAAGAGCAATCAACAGTTTGCCACAACACATATTATAGCAAATTTAGCTTTTGTTTATGGTGAAATTAAGTTGAAAAAGCCAGAAAATTATTATATTGACCTACATAATGTAACATTTTGGCTTGCTTCTAAAGAAAATATATATTGATTAAGAATGGTCTTTATAATAAATGATCTTTTACTTTGTATGAATATTACACTCTAAAAAATGCTGGGTTAAATACAACCCAGCACTGGGTAAAATGTGGACAAACCCAGGGATTGGGTTGTTTTGACCCAGCGGCTGGGTTACTGCCCAGAAGGTTGAGTTAAACATTTAACCCAGGGCTGTCCAAACTCGGTCCTGGAGGGCCGGTGTCCTGCAGAGTTTAGCTCCAACCCTAATTAAACACACCTGA